CCCCAAAACCCCAAAACCCCAAAACCCCTAATTTTAAGCAAAATTAGCATTAAATTATAGTTAAAAGATGCAAACTCACCGAAGAAAATTGAGAATTACTCTTCTTGGGCCATCGTTCTGAGGGAAGACAGCCATTGTTAATAGGTGAGATATGATTAAGGAGCCCTTTTAGGTTCATCAATAACTGATTTCTGATGAAATATATGCCAACCAGTGATGTTAATGTTTATAATACAAAATTGGATCTAAACGATGAAGATGATGGAAGAAGTTACATGATAGATTGTAGGTCAATTCTTCATTACTTTTCCTAACCCTTAGTTACAAATCCCTTAATCTTGGGTAGTGTAAATTTCATTTTAGGTGAGATTGTGGATACATTCCCTCTAAATCATCCTCATCTACTGAAATAAATACAAAGATGATGCTAATCTCAAGAGAGAAATAAGTTTACGATCAGGTATGCTACTTTATGACTCTTAGAGCTCAGCAGGAAGGAGATGGAGACCAAGCTTAGGAAGATATTAAATAATTCCTTTGAAGATCCTGGTTATAAATAAATCCAAAAATGTACCTAGAAGAGTTAAGAAGATAAACCCTGAGTTTTCCCATGCTCTTTTATTTATATTTGACTGCTCTGAAATACAGTCTTTTGACATTGTCTGTGGCTATATTGAAGCGTTTAATAAAATTGAGGAGAGTAAGCTCTCCTTAGTAGCTCCATCCCAAGGTGAGGAGACTTATACGACTAAATAAGGTAAGTCTCTTTTGTCCACCCCCAATTTCTTCCCTCCCCATTCATTTAATGCTTCATTAGATGATCATTGGAAATAAAAGTGATATGAAGGTGCACGATTTCAAGAAACTTATGGACAAATAACCCTATTTTATTTAAAGAAATTGAATATGTTGAGACAAGTGCTCTGGTCAATAGTAATGACTCTAACAGGTATATCAGCTTTATAAGATTTTAAGCCAAAAAGATCTAATATCCCAAACTCACATTTTGAGTTGGCCAAGGTTTTAGCATTCCCATGTGAATTTTATAGCTTTAGAAAATATTCTCCACTCTCAAAGTGAAGCAGCCTTGACCTTCCTGGCAATCTCTGATTTTGGATTTTAGGCTCAGCATCAACTCAATCTTTAAATAAAGTTTATGGAAAGATCATGGAAGATCCTATGTTTGAGGATATAGAATGGAGTAAGTTTTATTACCAAATTCTCGAAATTTTATCCATTATATAACCTTCTTACCAGATAAGATCAAGAATAGAGAGCTAGAAGAGGTCAAGGACCTGACAATACCAACCCTGATCCCTCAGTACCTTCCTGCTAACCCTATTTAGAATAGAAGAGCCTCCTTTGGAATCTAAAATATCTCAGTTCTTGAGTTTCAGGAAGAGCTTCATGTGTTTCGGATTTGGAGGCAAAGAAGACAGCGAGTCAGGTACTTCACAACCTTACACTATAGAAGAAGATGAAGAGTTCTCTGTCAGGACCAAGTGGATGATGAAGACAAAGAAAGCAGATCATGAAGAGTTTCACTCTGATGATTCTTTCTCATAGTTGTGCTTGCTCAGTAGGTGTTTCAACTTTAATTATGATATTAGGGGTTTTGGGGTTTTGGGGTTTTGGGG